ATGGATTTAGAGGTACTGTACCCTATTTTCAGACAGAGCGTGCTAGTTGGTGCTGACTGGAACCATGGAATTTGTCATGACTTTCCATTCAATTGGGAATTTCATACTCCCAACTGAGTTTCATATTTTTCAGAGGGGTTGGTTGAAACCACCAACCAGATATAAATATTGGAAAACATGCAAAAAAAACTATTGAAAATTGCCATAGAAAGTTCGTTGATTTACCCAGCTAGAAGATGGTGATTTCCCATTGAAACCACCAACCAGCCAGATCTACAGAGTCAGCTTGCTGGCCAGGCAGAGAAAGAGATCAGCGAGTTGAACGACCGAGTAGGTGCAGGGCTTCTTCGCAGGGGGGTTTTCGGAGTTTTTTTTAAAAAAAGGGGGAAGAATTGGGACCTGAAAATGGGAAAACCCCTGCAGGATGGGCCCCCCAAGATAGCTAAGTTGCCTTATAAGTGGCTTAACTATGGTTTATGGTAGATATAACTATGGTTTAACTATGGGAAAACCCCTGAGATCCATTGATTTATCATGAATTTTATCCATTGCATTGATATTGTTTCACATTTTTCGGACAATACAAAGCAATGCTCCAACAATCATGATAAACAACTTCCATGGCTGGATAAAATAAGGCTCTCGGAATGACCACGCCAAAAAACCATTGTTTCTTTGCAGAATCATCCCACTGGTTATTCAGATGTACATCCAAGTGATGCCGGGATAACTTGGGGTCCATGGATGCGAACGTATCGTCGTGGTCTGGTGTAGAATTCAATCCCCTTAAAAAAAATGGTCTGATTGGTGGTTTGGAACATGTTATTTTTTTCCATATGGCTATGGATCAATACCTATACATACCATTTTTAGGGGGATGAACATCCATTTACCAGCTATTTTGATGCTCACCAGGGGGATAGGATTTTGACCCATCCCCATATATTGGAAATGTCATCATCCCAACTGACGAACTCACTCCATCATTTTTCAGAGGGGTAGGTATACCACCAGCCAGTGGTGGTTCAACCATGTTCAACCAACAAAAAAATAGTAACAAAACCCTACAAGAAAAGGGGTAACATCATATATATCTGGGTAAATTATAACGACCTCACTGCGACCTCACTGGATATCCTGGTTAGTAAGGGAAATCATCCCCAAATGGCCTTAATTCAGGTTAGTGAAATATTATAATTTACCCATATATATATATATGTATATATATAGATCCATATAGCAGATATAAATGGATACCTTGCCATCTTCCTAAAATAAAGACCCCCCCTGGACAGAAGCCCAAAATGAACGGATTCAGTGAAGTGGTATCTTTCAGCAGGGAAAATGGCTAAGATATGCTAAGATGGTAATTTGTGAGAAGATATCACCCACAGACATAGTTCTGAAAAACTGAGGTTTTGACCGACAGAAATCCGGGATGCAACGAGACGCAAGTTTCGACCTTTCGACCATCCTCTGATTCAAAGATATCGATCCAGCAATATTGCCAGCAGGAGTTGGATCGAGTTGACATCCGTAGCCCAAGTTGGATTCCATGGGGTAAGCCATCAAGTATCCTTTTTGTTGTCTTTGAGGTCTCAGGCCTTCCTCAAAATGAATTTTGGTGGTTCTCAAAATTTTGGTTGGTACGCCCCAAATCATCCAAAACTAGATCACTTTAGCATGAAGCCTTTTTGGGGCTCCCGGGTCCTACATTTTATCAATAAAATCATTTGAACATGATTTTTCAAAGTGGTAAAAACACCCAAGAATTCAACATTGAACCCATGTTCATGTATCTATGTATATATATATATATATTCAACATGGAACCTATATATACTGTATATACTGTATATACTGTATATACTGTATATACATACATACATACATACATACATACATACATACATACATACATACATGCATGCATGCATGCATGCATACATGCATACATGCATACATGCATACATGCATACATGCATACATGCATACATGCATACATGCATACATGCATACATGCATACATGCATACATGCATACATGCATACATGCATACATGCATACATGCATACATGCATAAATGCATACATGCATACATGCATACATGCATACATGCATACATGCATACATGCATACATGCATACATGCATACATGCATACATGCATACATGCATACATGCATACATGCATACATGCATACATACATACATACATACATACATACATGGAACCTATATATATATATATATATATTCAATATATATATATATATTCAATATATATATATATTCAACATGGAACCCATATATATATATATTCAACATGGAACCCATATATATATAGACACATATTATTCATATATGTGTAGCATGTTATGGCAATATCCAACATCGTCTTCCAAAGCCAAGCTTGACAACATGGTGCCCCCCCAGTTATGTATGTTTGTTGAGAAAAAAAACGCGAACTAGTTCGATATATCCGCCATACACTCAATTATTTTGATATGTTTGAGGATAGACCAACTTCGCGATTCCGAACTGGGGCATCACCCGCCATGTCATTCATGGATTCCAAAAGTTAAGCGAAACATTTTCCAAACCCATCCAGTTTTGTTAAAAATTAGGGACTCCAAACTCTGGCATCCAGTGCTTTGATCTGCAGGCCAACTGCAAACGCAGAATGCCTATCTTGCAAGCCGTCAATCTGACGCGTATTTGGTGAGCTGGGTGGTTGAACTAGGTAGAGTAACCAAGAACATATTGGGATATCGTAGATATAGTAGCGATTTCTCATGGGGATATTATAGCAGGATATACCGAGATATGAACCAAAAGCTAGGTAGAGTAACCAAGAACATATTGGGATATCGTAGATATAGTAGCGATTTCTCATGGGGATATTATAGCAGGATATACCGAGATATGAACCAAAAGCATGTGCCTTTGGTTTGTCTGAAAATGAGGAACTAATGCCAAGTTATCCTCAAGTTGTGGCCATATTTAGTCAAAACAAGTCATGATTAAGCAGCAAATTTTGGGGGTACCATCAGATAAAGCCATTTGGAGGCCCCAGACTGCTTGGTGGCTTCAAACTGGCCTCTTTTGAGTTCCAAATCTTCAGAATTGAATCCAAAAAAGAGTCTACAGAGCTATTCTCGAGAAGAACATGGGGTCTGGCATTGCCAAAGCTGGCGGAGCAAGAAGGCCAAGTCCTGGAGGATTGCGAAGATTGCCTCAGGTTGCCTCAGATCCTTCGAAGCTTGCGAAAATTTGGGTGAATTCTCCGGAAAAATTGATTTGAATCAAGATACCCTTTCTGGTTGGTGGTGACTGGAACCATGGAATTTTTCATGACTTTCCATGAAAATTTGGGAATTTCATGTTCCCAACTGATTTTCACTCCATCATTTTTCAGGGGTAGGTTTCAACCACCAACCAGTTTTTGCCTTTGGAAGAATCTATTCAGAATTCTTCACGCTACCTGCATCTTCCTGGAGAGGGCAGGCTTCACTGATGTCGGCAACTCTGAAAAATCCCACGGCTTCCAGGAGAGTGGAGGCCTGTGAATGTTGATTCAAGAGTTTCCTCATTTTTTTAGCTCGTCACAGGTATGCTTTGAGGGGAGAAGCCAGCACCTTGGATCCTTGCTTTTTTCTGATTGGCTTCCCATTTAGGGAGATTGGCCATGACCAACAGGGATTAGATGGGGAAAAAAATCAGCCATCAGATGAATCCAATATGAATCTCATAGCCCATTCAAATCCGTTAATATCCAATGAAATATCATGAAATATCACACTATTTCTGTTGCATCGGCAAGGATATTTTCGCTTTTTGCTGCCTGCATGCATTATTTTCACTCAGCAGAGTCACTGTGAGACTGTGATGGTCTTTCATTGGCTCTGCAGAATGCTGCAGATCACAAATTTCTCATTGGAGAATCCCCGGGAAACATGTGACATTTTTTTTTACTGGAAAATCATGCGAAGATCATGCAATTTGATGATTTACCCGTTAAACATGGTGATTTTCCATAGTTATGTAACAGTTTAACAGAGGGTAAACCATCAAAAACCATGAAATAAGGACTGGTTGGTGGTGACTGGAACCATGGAATCTTGAATGACTTTCCATTCATTTGAGGGAATGTCCTCATCCCAACTGACTTTCACTCCATGATTTTTCAGAGGGGAGGCTCAACCACCAATCATATATATATATAATTATACAAATATTAATACACACATATATATATATATATATTAACCATCACTATCCATATCATAACCATTACTATTATATAACCCATATGTTAACAGTAGATTGCCAACCAATTTGATAGGATAGAGCCCTTTGGAACAGCCCACGTTGCCACTGGGTTCCTGTTTTGGGGGCACCATAGATCATCTTCGAAACCATGGGCTGTTTTTTGCGGATCTTTTAAACATGTTTACCCTTGGGGTAAATCACCCTTACATCCCATTAAACCTCATTGAATCACCATGAAATCTCATGAGAAATCACTATAACATCCCATGAGAAATCACCATAACATCATAACATCCCATGACAAATGACAAGTGCCATCAGCAATACACATCTCCTCAGGACTGCCTGCCAGGTATAGATGGCCAAGAGGAGGAAAAAGCCTCCCTGAAGGCCAGGAACGGTTCCGTTTTCGCGCACCGTTTTCGCGTCAGACACCGTGTTTTTTAGGCCCATGGCCTGTTTTGTAGATGAACCATGGTCAACCAAAATGGTCAACAGATGTAAAAATAGGAGCCTATCTTTTTCATTTTTTTTTTCGGGGGGTATCAGCATATGGCAGATATAAAAGGATACGCTTCCATCGGCCTATAATCTGGGTCAGCCAGCTGAAATTGTAGGGACGAATGCAACTTAATCTTTGGCGATTTCAATATATCTATCAACCAGCAAACAATTTCATGATGTTTGCAGGGTATCTAAGATTGGCAATGGATTTAGCTATTAAAAATGGTGGTTTCCCATGGCTATGTTACTTTACATAAGGGCAAAGTGGCAAAGGTGGAGGTTTTGTCAAGGAAATTGGGGCAGTTTAGGCAACAAAACATGTTGTTCATCGATTCATCCTAAATGGAGTTCAACTTGGTAACTTGGGCCATGGGTGATTCTTATCTTTTGGCTGAAACTTCTCTATCATTTGGACTCCAACCCTTATGGCTGTTTATGCTCAAATTTAACTAATATAAATATATATATATATATAAATGTATATTGTAATTGTATATTTGATATTGTATATTGTATATTTGATATTGTGTATATATATATATATTTATTTATTGTATATTGTATATGTGTATATATATAGAGGTTACATTGAGCTTCTGGGCTTCTGGTGTCTCAGGGGTGGTATTAGCCTAGAACTGGACGTCCCAGAGAGTTCTTGAAGCGTTAGTCCTCCATCACCTCGTTGCTTCTTGCGTACTTGGTGGTACTTGGTGGCTCATCCCACTTAGTAAATAGCTTAGTTCGCCCTGGTTATGAAGTGGATACTGGGGACGATTGTTTTTAGACTTGGGGATGCTAACTATGTGATTACGGATCCCGGATTATGGCCACCAGTATGACCCCACTTAAAATTGGCCCCCACAGTTAAAGCACTGGTATTTGAAGCTATTCAACTGCAGATTCCAGAAATATCCGCCACTCCTGGTGAAGCTTAGCTATCATACATCACATGAAGCCAAGTTTTCGGTGTTTCATACGTTCCAATCTCTTGGTGAAATCGATGTCTTTGCCTGCAAAACCTCTCCTCAACTACCAGTTTGCGAAGTGGATCACCACTTTTCATAGGTAAATCATGGAAGTAAATGGGCCATGGTCCATTGCTATGTGAGTTTACCAGAGGCTACAGCCCTTCTTGGACAGGACCCCCTATCGGCCTGGTGATACCTCGTTTGCACCAGGTGGAAATCCGAAAGGTCGCAGATAAAGCCAGCGATGCTCGCAGATAATCCAGGGTTTGGTATTGTTTGGTACCTGAAAATGGAGTGATTACCCGCAAGAAGATCAAGAAGCCAAAGGAGTAGATAGACTTATATATACATAAATTTTTAAATATACTTGTGCTGATTTATATTGAACTATGCAGAATTATCATCATTTTTGCAATTAACAGCTACCTGAAAATGGAGTACCCTCAAGAAGCCGAAGGGTTATCATGGATTATCATCATTTTTTCTGAAGATATGGCAATTTGCAAAACCTAAACAGACAACCCCAGGTCATGGTACCTGGGGTGTTAGGTCTTGGCTGCTTGGCTGGTGGATTTATAGTGGGATTAGCAGCTATAGTCACTGATCTGTTCGGGGATTGTGGGATTTGGCAATCATTTAGTTCGGGGAGACATCAACATGTTCTGGTTGGTGGCTTGGAACATGTTTTTTTTCCATATATTGGGAATAATCATCCCAACTGGCGAACTCATATTTTTCAGAGGGGTAGGTTTCAACCACCAACCAGTCAACATGTTGGGAATGTACATCCTGGTTAAAATCCTATGTTGGGGATTTATATCCTATATCCAAGTATCCAGGTTATTGGAGATCCTATATCCAATACCTATATCCAAGTATTTTTGTTGTACATCCTGGTTTAATATCCTATAACCAGCTATAATTAACCATTATTAATTAACCATTATGAACCACCATTAACCACCATTAATTGTCATTAACCACCATTAACCACCATTAACCACCATTGACCACCATTAACCACTAGCCAATCCTATGAAGTATAGATATATCCCCAACCAAAACCATCGTGAAATTGGAGTTAAAATACGGATTTCTCACGTGGATCCAGAAAAAACACCTACAATCCTCTGAAGATCAGCTCATGGAAATCCCCCATGGAAATCCCCATGAAGTTCAGCTGTTAAATCTCCATTTTTTCGATGGTTTTTCTATGGTTTCTTATGATTTTCTATGGTTTTCCTATGGTTTTACTATGGTTTCTTATGATTTTCTATGGTTTTTCTATGGTTTTCCTCACGTTTCCCATGGTTTCATAAGAAACACGGTAGCATCACCGATCACCGTCGAAGCTCAGGATCTCTCAGGCGAGAATACCAGGCTCATCCGGCGGTCACCTAAAGAATTAATAGATCATGGACAATATTATCTATCTGTCTGTCTGTCTGTATGTCTGTCTATCTATTTATCTACCTATCTATCTATCTACCTATCTATCTAATCTAATCTAATCTAGTCTAGTCTAGTCTACTCTAGTCTAGTCTAGTCTAGTCTAGTCTTATCTATCTAGCTATCTAGCTATCTATCTATCTAGCTATCTAGCTATCTAGCTATCTAGCTAGCTAGCTAGCTATCTATCTATCTATCTCTATCTATCTATCTATCTATCTATCTATCTCTATCTATCTATCTATCTATCTATCTATCTCTATCTATCTATTTCTATCTATTTCTATCTATCTATCTCCATCTATCTACCTACCTATCTATCTATCTACCTATCTATCTATCTATTTATCTATCTATCTACCTACCTATCTATCTATCTACCTATCTATCTATCTATCGATCTATCTATCTCTATCTATCTATCTCTATCTATCTATCTCTATCTACCTACCTATCTATCTATCTATCTATTTATCTATCTATCTACCTATCTATCTATCTATCTACCTATCTATCTATCTATCTATTTATCTATCTATCTACCTATCTATCTATCTATCTATCTACCCACCTATCTATCTATCTATCTATCTATTTATCTATCGATCTACCTATCTATCGATCTATCTAATCTAATCTAATCTAATCTAATCTAATCTAATCTATTTTTTCTTATCTTATCTATCTATCTATCTATCGATCGATCTATCGATCTATCGATCTATCGATCTATCTACCTATCTACCTATCTACCTATCTACCTATCTACATATCTACCTATCTACCTATCTACCTATCTATCTATCTATCTATCTACCTACCTACCTATCTATCTATCTATCTATGTATCTATCTATCTATCTACCTATCTATCTATCTATCTATCTCTCTATCTCTATCTATCTATCGATCTATCGATCTATCTATCTCTATCTCTATCTCTATCTCTATCTCTATCTCTATCTCTATCTCTATCTCTATCTCTATCTATCTATCTCTATCTATCTATCTGTCTGTCTGTCTGTCTATCTATCTCTATCTATCTATCTATTTATCTATCTATCTATCTATCTATCCATCCATCTATCTATCATCCTATATCATCCTATATCAACCTATCCTATCCTTTTCTATTCTTTCCAATCCTATCCTAATCTATCTATCTATCTAATCTATCTAATCTATCTAATCTATCTAATCTATCTAATCTATCTAATCGATCTAATCTATCTAATCGATCTAATCTAATCTAATCTAATCTATCTAATCTATCTAATCGATCTAATCGATCTAATCTATCTAATCTATCTAATCTATCTAATCGATCTAATCGATCTAATCTATCTAATCTATCTTTTCTATCTAATCTATCTAATCTATCTAATCTATCTAATCGATCTAATCTATCTAACCTAATCTAACCTATCTAATCTAATCTAATCTAATGTAATGTAATCTAATCTAATCTAATGTAAATCTAATCTAATCTAATCTAATCTATCTAATCTAATCTAATCTAATCAATCTAATCTAAACTAATCTAATCTAATCTAAGCTAATCTAATCTAATCTAATCTAATCTAATCTATCTAATCTATCTGACTAATCTATCTAATCTAATCTAATTTAATTTAATCTAATCTAATCTGATCTATCTATTTAATACAATCTAATCTATCTATCTATCTATCTATCTATCTAATCTAATCTAATCTAATCTAATCTAATCTATCTATCTAATCTAATCTAATCTAATCTAACCTAACCTAACCTAACCTAATCTAATCTAATCTAATCTAATCTAATCTAATCTATCTAGTCTATCTAATCTATCTAACTAATCTTTCTATCTAATCTAATCTAATCTTATCTAATCGAATGTAATCTAATGGAAAAAAATCTTATCTTATCTATCTATCGATCTATCTATCTATCTACCTATCTACCTATCTAGCTACCTAGCTATCTAGCTATCTAGCTATATAGCTATCTAGCTATCTAGCTATCTAGCTATCTAGCTCTCTAGCTATCTAGCCATCCATCTATCTATCTATCTACCTATCTATCTGTCTATCTATCTATCCATCCATCTATCTGTCTATCTATCTATCTATCTATCTATGGTATGTTTAAACATGCCATGCATGGGCGTTTACCCGCAAGCAGAACGGTTTAAGCACGTTTAACCATTTGAGGCTACCCTCTTGTAATTGAACCGTTTGCGAAGTGGAACATCACCATACAGGGAAGTCATCGAACTAAATCCACAGCAACAAGTTACCGCAGGAATATTTCTCCCACATCAACTATATCATAGAATTGGATGATGGGAAAATTTACAGGAAACCCCTATATTTGATGGTAAAAAAACATGGTTTCCTGTAGATTTTCCCTTAAACCAATCCATTGACTATACTAAACTGCTTGATTTTTGCCCGCGCAGGCTGCGGGATGAAATCGACTCCTTCGAAGAAAAGGCGATCTCGGATGAGTCGTGTAGACCTCTTGGGACCACCTGCAAACCAGCAAAACTGTGAGTAGAATTGGCGATATAGCGTATTATAGGATTGAGAAAAGGTATATAATATTTCCCATTCTAAAATTGACATTTAGTATACTATATAGTATACCATTTTATAGTATATATCCCATTTTTATTGACGTGTATAAAATGGTATATAAACCGACTGGTTGAGTAGGAATGTTTTGGCCATGTTGAGGGGAAAAGATGATGTTGTGACCAGATTCTTTGCTTTCTTGTGTGTGATGGCGTAAGAATTATATGGATATATAAGGGGGATTAATAGTGGGACTAAAGTGGGCGATATTTCATCTCGAGTGTTACACAGAAAAATGATTCATGATTTTTGGGTTTGCTTTAGAATGGTGTATAAAGATATGTGCAAGCATCAAATAGCAGATAGACAATCTGAAGAGAAATATGATTAACATTTATTAAGCGTTAAATTTTGTGGTTACCAAATTTCAGACAGTCATATTAACGTTTGAAGTTTGAAATTGCACGCCCCAAGGTTTCAATCAATTTCTGGTGATTCCTGAAGTTTATAGATAGGATTTAGAACATATTACTCGTAGAACATTTGGAGAATCATCAGAATATTTTATTATTTGTATAATATATATATATAGTAATATATAGTATATATACATTGATATTATAATATATATACATGTTTGAACGAAGTATAACGACCTGACTGTTCTCACTGGAATGAGATTTGTTTCCCGAGGTCACCTGAACGTATGCCGACTGCTTGGCTCAGACGATAGCAGTGATATGGTTGGAGGCAACATCGATGAGGCCATTAACTCTTCATTGATAAAATCCTTTTCATACAACGTTGGCACTTCATAACCCTTCGAAAGAGTCAACATATATATATACATATATATATACATATATATACATATGTATACATATATATGTATATACATACACTATATATATATATATAATGATAATATTATATTGATCTCGAAAAGAGAGGTCGATTTGGCAGCCATTGTTTCAGCTTCGCCGGCGTTTCCACGCCCATGGGGGATGCACCGGTATGGGACCCCTCGAGATCCATGGATCGAAACTCGGCTGGACCGCTGTCAATGGGAAATTTCCATGGAACATGGGGGACATTCCAGCTATCCATGATATGTATGTATATATATATAATTAAATTATATATCTATAGTTATAATGTACATATATATATATATATAATTAAGTTATCTATAGTTATAATGTACATATATATATAATTATCCATGATATATATATACATACACACAAGTCAAAAACACACAGGTGGGCATCAGGATTTTGACGACTCCGTTTATGGACTAGCTTCTCTAGTTTTAACGTATAGCAGTAGCAAATGGCTGGGCAATCCGCACAGATGGCTGGGATGCCATACAGATAGCATTGGGATGCCACCTCTTCCTGGGCCTGTGTTTTCCAGTTTTTCTTTAATGGCCCACATCACGACATCACGAAGTTTTATGATGGGATTGCGGGAATCCTCCCCGTGGTGGACCAACATTTCAGGTTCATGAATTACGAGGAATTCAGCGGGAGGCATAGTGATTAAGCAGCTATTAGACCAAGCAGTCAGAGTGCAGCATCAATTTGGTTAGATCACCAACTGGTTGGTGGTTTGGAACATGAATTTGATTTTCCCATATATTGGGAATTTCATACTCCCAACTGACTTTCACTCCATGATTTTTCAGAGGGGTAGGTATACCACCAATCAGCCAATGTTTCCAGATGTTTCCAGGCTACCCAGGTTGGCTAAAATCCCACTGCCTTCAGATGGACACACAGCCTGTGCCAAAACACATGTTTTCGGGCCATGATCATATTATAACAATATAATATAAAACACTGATAAATCACTCGATTTGGATGAGTATGATTATATATTGCTTTATCATTGATATATATATATATACACATATGTATATATATATATATATATTTAAATATAAAACAAAGAAATGGTTTGGTGGTGCATCTTTCGCCTTGGATTTTAACAGTTACAAAGCTTTTTGATACACGGGATACACCACTGATCTTCCATCGTTTTTCGCGGCGAGGTGGAAGTCAAACCCTGCTCAAGGGACAGATGAACCGACAGAAGGGAGCTACAGCTCTCAGCAACTTGGCTTTGGCGATGGGGACGACTATGTGATTGAACCAACAACTGGTTGGTGGTTTGGAACATGAAATATATTTTTTCCATATAATTCTTGGGAATTTCATAATCCCAACTAACTTTCACTCCATCATTTTTCAGAGGGGTCACAGAAATACCGGCAGTTTTTCAGCTATGCATCGATCAGCAGTTTTTTGATCAGTCCATCCAATTGGACTATCATGGTGACCAATGAGCCAATGTATACAAGGTGGTGCCCCCCTTAGATTCACCCCACGGATACTAGTTCGATATATCACCAACAAAAACCATAGTGAAATTGGAGTTATATATAAACCAACTGAACGCTATCGACTGGGGGCACCACCTTGTAGGCATGCTTAAGCACAGTAGTGCCGGGACGGCGCAGGCGCAGCATTGGAAATGGAAAATTTATGGGGTAGGTCAACCACCAGACAATTCTGAGGATATCAGACAGAACAAGCCATCCCAAAAAGGGATCTTTTTAGGAGATATCATGGGGATATGGGGGATATTCTGGGATAATCAATGGCTTGAAACAACAAAAAGTGGTTACTCTCTGGTAAACTGTCACATAACTATGGAAAATCACCATTTTATAGCTGGGTAAATTAACGAACTTTCTATGGTTATTTTCAAGTTCGCAAACTGTAAACGTTTACCAGGCCGGGTAACAAGAATGGGGATTCAACTCAACCTTTAAACTAGGGTGATATGATGGTATATAATCGACATTGTGATATGGATTTATCATGGTTTATCGAAGATAGCCCAAGATTGCTCGCGTTGATGGGGACGACGGGTATATGATAAACCAAAGGTTTGGATTGTAGCCAACGTTTCTACATTTGCAGTACCCTCTGGTAAACTGTCACATAACTGATGGGAAAATCCACCCATTTTTACTGGGTAAATCAACTATAAATGGCCATTTTCAATAGCAAACTGTAAACGTTTACCAGAGCGTATCATCCCCCAAACAAAAGATGATATATAAACGGGCAAACACCGGTGGCAAACTCTCTACTCAAGTTGTCAGCTGAGACCTGTCATCGGTGGTGCCCCCGTTCGAAATCGTGAGAAGTTGGTATTCATAACTCCAATAATCTGGACTTATGGTAGATATATGTAGATACCCTCTGGTAAATTAACATAGACCCTGGCAAATAGGACTTGGAAGATTAGTTTCCATTAAAAATTTGTGATTTTTCAGGGTCTATGTTTATTTACCAGAGGGTAATGTCAACCCCGGATTAATAAACTATGGCATTATGGTTTATAATGGTTTATTAAAAAATGAGGGTGTTCCCCAAAGAGTGACAATCTGATACTTTTTTTATGGTACCCCCCCAATTAAACAGCCGTTTGGGGTTTGTTAATCCAGGGTTGACATTATTTATATGTACATATATCATGACATATCTATAGTTAATGGATGTTTTCATGGGCTTTGTCATAAATCAACAAAAATAACTAAAACGGGGGGGGGGCATCTGCCCAATAGTTGGAAGAGTTGGGAAGGAAACTATGTCACCCGGAGGCTTCAAAAGACCATTACCCTCTGGCAATTTGTTACAGTTTGCTATTGAAAATGGCCATAGAAAGTTCGTTGATTTACCCAGCTATAAAATGGTGATTTTCCAGTTCGCACACTGTTCATTTACCAGAGGGTAGATGGTATTGGATGAGAAAAACCCAGTGAAACCGGGAATTGGCACGCTTGGCATGCTGAGATGCAGAAGGGAGATTCGGCAGATACTGAAGTTTCTCCAGGATGTGATGATTTTTACATGTTCTTACCACATCATTTCCAAGTTTTCCAACGTATGTGAACGGGGGATTGAGGGTTGCATTCAAACGCCACACCTGGACTATTTCACCAGAGCACGAAACCCAAAATGGTCATTAAACCAAGGAACCTTGTGTTGCAATGAAAATCCAGACAGAATGTTTTATGTGGAATTCACAGGAAATAATCATGGCTCTGGAACATTCAGATTTCCAACAGGAAGAAACATAATCTAGAATTGGATATATGCATGATATTTTCTATTGTCTGGATGGAGTGCATATCAAGGTACTTGGGGGTGCATCCCACTTAGTTAATGGGTTAAGAAATACCCACAGCTATATATGGAATATCCCCACTTATATATATAGGATGAAATATGGGTTATATGGATTTTATATGGTCCCTATGTTTATCGCTTGAAATCCCAATTGGGATTGCTTAGATCCCCAGTTTTATTGCGTCAAAAGTCGCGTCTCCAAGGCAAGCGGCTGCCACCGTTGTCCCAGACCTGGTATAGCTCTCCAGCGCCCTACACAGAAGATGTGAGGACCGGCAATGTCTTGATGATTTTTTTGACATTTGGGTGATCATGATGATAATGACTAGGTCAATCTTAGATGGATACTTTAGTCCTTTAGTCTTTTGGTATTAATGGGAATATCTACTAACCAACAAAAAAATGCAGGGTATCTAAGATTGGCAATGATGATGGGATACTGTCAGGTGTACAAACCATGTATGGGAAACATATAGGGAAGCTATATACATGGTACCCTCTGGTAAACTAACAGTTTGCTATTGAAAATTGTCATTTATAGTTGATTTACCCATTAAAAATGGGGATTTTCCATAGTTATGTTAGTTTACCAGAGGGTAAACCGTCTGATGATGATGATGATGGTGGTGGTGGTGGTGAAGATGAATTCTAGTGGTCAAAGCGGTATCTTGTCTCTCATATCCTCATATTTGTGAGCAATATCCCTATATCCTGCCACTGATTCTTTTTTTTGCCGTGTTCAGTGATGTCCGTATGTGTATTCGCAGCAATCCCCTGCTTGACATAGGCCATAGGGTGCATCTGAAAATGGTGTGTGCCCCTGTTCAAGTATATTGATGGGCCAGGGGCCAGTTTATGATCGCTTAAATACACTGTTTATTGGGGATTTCATCTAATTTGTTCTTCAAGAATCAATCCCCACTATCAAATTCAACCAAATCATTCCACAAAAAACTATTACCCTCTGGTAATTTAACATAGCTATTGAAAATCCACCCATTTTTCATGGGAAAATCCACTATTTCAATAGCCATTTTCAATAGCTATTTTGACATAACCAGAGGGTACTATTTCCAGAGAAAACCAGACTCCGCCAGACTCCTTGGGACCAGGACGAAACGCAAGTTGCTGCCCAAACTTTTGGCAAAGGTGCCGGGTTTCCAGAACGGGATCACCACGGGCGCATCACCTGGGAGATGGGGGCGGCTGTAGCTTCTGGAAAATCACTATCTGGTTGGTGGTTTGGAACATTTGTTAATGACTTTCCCATCATATTGGGAATGGAATCATCATCCCAACTGACTTTCACTCACTCAGATTTTTCAGATGGGTGGGTTGAAACCACCAAGAGGGTAACATGCTGGTCGTGTCGGTGGGACTTCTTTCGTCATGGTACCGTGGCAAATCGTAAAAAACGCGTCGTTACCGGCAAAACGGGCGGATGTTGTTTGTATTGGACAAAGCTGTTTTTGTGGGTTGTTGTTGTTGTTGTTGTTGTTGTTGTTGTTGTTGTTGTTAGGTAGTGGTAATTCCCGTAAATAGTGGTTAATTCTTCGGACTATGTCTTTCTTAGTCTTACTTGCACAGATTTTCCCGCTTGAAATGGCAAGTGGTGCGAACATGTGTGAAACTTCAATCCCAGCAGATGTCCTAACTTAGATCTAAAACTTGGATTGCCTGAAACTTCCAGTCAAATGATCAAAATCCCACTTAAATATACTTAAATCAGATTAGATTCAACTTAAATCTCCACTCAAATCCTTATAAACTATAAACCCATAGTTTCCCAATTTTTCGGTGTTTTTTGTCTGCCACGGCCGCCGCCAGGTGGTGGGTCCCCTGGCCTCCGACGCCACGCCGCGCACGCCCCGCGCCTGGCGCAGCAACGGCGACGACGCGACGGAGCGCCTGAGTCGGCCGAAGAGCTGCCCGGTACCTGCGCAGCATCATCATCATCATCATCCAACATTATTCAACATCATCCAACATCATCCATCATCGTAGTTGCATGTCTGGGCAACACGCGGCGTCTGTGGGTAACATTTTAGTGGTTAATATTATTTAATATAGTGCTATAATTATAGTGGTATTATGATATTAGTAGGGGGACTATAATATTTAATAGTGGTAAAATCTGTAATATCAATATTTTCATGGTACTATAATGGTATAGTAGATAATGTTATCATGGTATTTTGGGATATTACTAAAACTATATCATAAAATGGTACTTATTAGTAGTATATAATGATTTATTTATATTAATATCCTATAATGATGAATATTAAAACCTTTTCTAATATCAACTTTCAATAAACAGCACTAATGAATGATATACAAATTTTTATACCACTCATATATACCATTCATATTACATAAACTGCTACTATTACATTTTAATAAAATCCCTTTTAGTGGTACTCACCACCGCACGGGAGCGTCTCAGGATCTGAAACGTTCGACACATGGCGCACATGGCGGCCGTCGAGATACCGGGATTGCAGCCTGGCATCGCAGCCGGGTGCGGGGGGCACCACTTAGTAAATGAGCCATACATAGTGATGTGGGAAAACCAACAATAAACTTACCATGACTGGGGATGGTTGACGGCGTTGTTATGGTTTATTTAGGATGGTTATACCCCCAGTTAGATGAATGGAAGATCCCCACTTATGGGATGTTTCATATGGGTGGATGAAATTTGCCACGTATTTTTTTTTTTGTGCACATCCAAGTGGAGACCCAACCAACCAGCTGGTCACCTTTGGCGGTCAACCAGATCGGGGATTCAGGCACCAAACATCGGGATACAACTGTTGTAATACAACTGGTAGAAAAAAATCAAAAAGTTAACTAGATAAACCAATGGGTGAATATGGTACTCTAGTAAGGTGGTTAAAAGAACAATTTAAACGTCCAGATTTGGATATGTCCATATATATATATATACACGTATGTTTTTAAATCACCCATTAATGACTGCCATAAATGGAAATGTAAGGAAATATATATATATATATATGCATCATATTAAATTATAATGTTTAACATAGCCTGTCCAATTATTTGACAGAGCCGGGTCTCCAAGATCAATGATTTAACAACATGAAGATCTTACCAAATGAAGATAGCAATGGCTGGTGCAGATGGAGATCCGAAGGGTAGATTCGTTCATTTGAACTTTTTTTTGGGATGTTGCAGCTGGTTTGTGGCCCAAAAAGTACCTTGGGGATCATGTTAGCAATGCCTAGAAACAAGTGGGAAACCAAGTGGAAATGCCCGGAAACCAAGTGGAAATGCCCAAAAAACTCGGACGAGCATCCCATGTTTAGTGCTTAACTAAGTACTCTAAAAATCGAGATGGACATGTGTCCAAAACTCTGATGGAAATGTGTCCGAAACTCTGATTTCCCAGCTATAGCTGAAACATCCTGATTTTTTTTTTGTAGATTCACTCTTAACTTCGTTGGGCGACTTCACCAAAAAAATATGAACTTCGGCATGGGACGGACCCCAAATTCCGCGAACTTTTCCATGGGAAGGACTTCCCATTTTAGCCTTGCGTTTTCCATGAAGGTCAGGTCCATTTAGTGCTCAAAACGGTTTTTGTTTTTGTAATATTCTATATACCCTCTGGTAATTTAACATAGCTATTGAAAATGGCCCATTTATAGTGGATTTACACATTAAACATGGTGATTTTCCCATCAGTTGTTTGTATGTTTACCAGAGGGTATCTTGCGTAAGTCAGTGTCCTATCTTGTTCCATGAACATCCCAGGCATCCCAGGATCTCTTCATATTTTCGTGCTTCAGATGTTTTTTCCCTTCGTTGCACGGCCCAGGTGACCCAAATATTTGGAGGTGAAGCTGCCCCAAAGCATCAGATGCCCTTGGGAACTGTGCACTTCTCAGGAGAGGGCGGTGTCCGACGGAGGCTCGGGAAATCTGTAGAGGTAGAGAGGGTTTTTCTAACTTTACCCATGAAATTGGTAAGTTGACTTCTAAGAACTTGGTGAACTATAGGGTAACTAGGGTTTATGCGGGAAATAACGAGAGTTAGATGATCAGTTAGATGATGTTAGATGGTTGCATAAACCAACTTCTAACTGGGGGGCCTCACCCTGAGTACTTCGTAATTTAACTGGAGAGATCCCATTTTTCAGGCTGATGAACATCCAATTGTTGATGTTTTACTGCTGAAACTCCTGTCATTTTGATGCTTTTCACTGGCGAATTGAGGTACTTTTCCATGCTTCTTGAATCTGATTGACCACTGAGCATAAGCGAGAGGCATTTCTTATCAGTGAGGTATGAAACACTGTGATATATATATAAATATTATATATATATAATAATATAATATATATAATAATATAATATATATAATAATATAATATATATAATAATATAATATATATAATAATATAATATATATATAATAATATAATATATATAATATATAATAAATATAATATAATATATATAATAATATAATAAATATAATATAATATATATATATAATATGATAATATATCTATAATATAAATAGTATAATATATATATATAATAAATATATATATATATTGATATATAAATAAGGGTTGGTCCAGGTATGTCCAGTGGGGTAAACTAAGGCCCTTACTCTGGGCTTCGCCGTAGGAGTGGAGCCACCCGCTGCAACGTTACCGCCGAAGAGCGACGAAACGAAGCCGCGACGGGTGGTGTCCATGGAACGCATCAGGGCCTTGGCGGAGCCAAAGAGGAAGAAACCCTGGAAGGTGGGGAGCCCAGTCTGTAAGGATTTCTTAGTGAATGCCAAAATAGCGTGTTATGTATACTCAATGGGAATTTCAGGATCCTAAAATGGAGGTACCTAGCGTATATACGGCCTATTTTTCAGGCCTAAATTTCAGGGAATATCACCACAAAATATGGCCTTATATGTTACAGTACCTCCATTTTTGGATCCTGGAATTCCCATTGATATACTATATAAAGGTATTTGTTGTAGTACATATGGTATTTGCTATAGTATGTATGAATGGGATGATTGTGAGAATAGTTATGGATTGGATCGTTCCCCCCATTTTTTCTACGTTTTGCACCAGTAAGAAGTGAGCCTTTCAGAGCAAGTGAGTCAGTTTCGAGATGTAAATTTTCTAAAGTCTACAATTAGATGGGTGATGTTCCATTGGCATGTTCTTACATCTTCATAGGTAGTAATCAATAAGATTGTATATATTGGAGTGGGTAAGGATCATCCCACGGATCGCAAGCAGTGACTAAAAACCTGGTGATCGTAAGATATCGTAGGTCACCTAATTAAAAATTGGTTATCTCATTTATTTTGGTGGTTATTGTGGGTTATAACTATGGTTACCTAGCCCCTTACTTTTTTTTTCCTAATTAAGTGGGGTATCTCATTTTTGTTGTGGATTATAACTATGGTTACTAATCATTTTCGAATGGGGATGATCCTCCAAGTATAGCTTGGAGCCAAGCTGATTCTTTTGGGGAACTTAGGGAAACCCGTGGCTTTTTGTTGATGCAGAGTCCCTGTTTTGCTCTCCGAGGAAAATCAACCATTTGGATCCAGTTGGGGCATATTTGTTTGGTATCACCAAAGGTATCACCATATTTTTAAAACAAGTATTAACAGCCCCTATCAACCATTAATAGTCGTTATTAACAGTCATTAATAGTTATGAATACCCGTTGTTAACAACTAACACCATATTAGCTATTATTGAAATAATAATTTTTGCCTATATTACTACAGCCATTAACTATATACCCATTGGCTATCTATATGTCCTATTCTTTATGAATGGCAGTTATTACCTGTATTACCCATATATTACCTACAATACCCATTACCCTCTGATTAATTTACACAGACCCTGAACATCACTACTTTTTAGTGGAAACTAATCTTCCAACCCCTATCTGGCAGGGTCTATGCTAATTTACTGGAGGGTAACTATCAACCTATTACAGGATGGTGCCCCCCAGTTAGTTGGTTTATGAGCCCCATTAACTATAGTTATATAACGGTTATAGGATGGTGCCCCCAGTCGATAGCGTTCAGTTGAGACATAAGTGGCTGAATTCTATGGTTTATGGATGCTTATGTCAATGGGAAGTTCAGGATCCTAAAATGGAGGTGCGTTAGTACCATATATAAGGCCATATTTTGTGGGGATATTCCCTTACATAGGGCTTAAAAATAGGCCTTATATATGGTACTGTAGGTACCTCCAATAAATCGGTTCCTGAAATGGCCATTGATTATGGTAGATATAACGAACTAGTTAATGGGGCCCCCATAAACCAACTAACTGGCACCATCCTGAGCTATCAACCGGAGGGTAACTATCAACGCACCCTCAAACTAACAGAGCTATGGAAAATTACCATCTTTAGTAGGTAAATCAACTACATATAGGCCATTTTCAAGTGGGTTATATAACCAGAGTTGTAGGATGTTTTAGGGATTATATTCATATATATATATATATATTTACACATTATATATATATGTATATATCAACTAATTCCATTAACTACCAACCTATTGACTGTGTCAGGTCTCCAGCACCTCCATCAGCACCGATGCGGAGCCGGATGATGCGGTGCCGCAAGCGCCGGAAGCGGCCCCCGAAGCGGTGCCGGAAGCAGTGCCAGCGGCAGGCGCCGTGGCTGGAACGGTGGCACGGAGAGGGAGATCTATGGTTTGCTATTGAAGCCATGGCCCATAGAAATAGTTGATTTACCCATTGAAAAATGGTGATTTTCCATAGTTATGTTAGTTTACCAGAGGGTACTATATACATGGAGGTTTCCTAAAATAGGGGTACCCCTAGTTATCATCCAGAAATTAATGGGATTTGCCATTATAAACCATGGTTGTTTGGGGATCCCCTATTTAGGGAAACCTCCATATCCGATATAGTTCATAGGTAATTATATATATAATTATATACATGGTATATCTATAACAAATATAGTAAGTATAGTAAATATCTATATAATAATTTTTCCTATAGACTGACCGACCCCTATTTCACTCAGCCAATTATCAATCTGCCAAAGATATAGGATGTCGGCTCTCGCCTGGATGAGCGGCCTGGATTTTTTCCTTTAGATACCCAACTTCCGGGTGCTTGCCCCACTTTGTAAACAGGTGAAAAAACCCAGTTAGATTACCCTCTGGTCATTTAACATAGCCATGGAAGATGGTCCATTTATAGATGGTTTACCGAACTTTAAAATGGGTGGATTTTCCATGGCTATGTTAGTCATAACCAGAGGGTAAATTGATTTGAATTATATGGGTTATATAGGGGTCATAAACCACGGGTCCTTGGTATTGGATGGCTGCGACTTGAGACCTCAGATCTGGCTGGATGAGTCACCATGTGGCCCAGTAATAAAGATCCCAGCAACCAACAGTATGAAGGTCATTTTCCATAATCCCAGCTACTTGGTGGCTCATCCCACTTAGTAAGTGGGTTATAACCCCAGTTATAAGTGGATTAACCCTACTTATCCCATTTATAACTGGGGTTATAACCCACTTACTAAGTGGGATGAGCCACCAAGTAGACTCAATTTCATACTTGGTGGCTAATCCCACGAATCTGAAGTAGGTTATATCGCTGGTGAACTGTTAGTGGAACAAGTAGGTTTAATCCAAATAACTATGGGTGAACTAACCTACTTACAAAGTGGGATGAGCCACCAAGTAAACCTCAATTGTGAATTTATTCTTTAGCTTATGATTACTGGGAAGAGGACATGTCCTAGCTACTATGGATTGCAATGACTATGGTCAGAAATCCAAAAGGCATCGTGTCAAAAAACTATCAACGCGCATCTTGTCAGTAACTCATTTTTGTAGCAACACATTTGCAATGTGGTGCCCGAGTTCGGAATCGAACTGGTCAATTTGATCTATTCACCAAGAAGGATAACTGGGGTTTCTTCACTTTGCAGGGTAAGTTGTTAATAACTTTTATAACTTCTATAGGGTATATACTGGTATACCCCTGTTAAACGGTCATTTAGCAGGGAGTGAAAATGGTGATGAGTCTCCAGGTTGTTGGAAACACGAATTCGTAAAAACTGCAGGGTGGGTCAGTCGAATACTGTGGATGGGCCAGCGAAATCCGATAAACCGCCAATTTGGGATGGTTTCTTTCGCCTATAACTGGTTGGTGATTTGGAACCATGGAATTTTATGACTTTCCATATATTGGGAATAATAATCCCAACTGACTTTCACTCCAACATTTTTCAGAGGGCTCAACCACCAACCAGAATAATTTTTTATGGGAGAATGGGATAAACCATCTAGCAACTGGTACAGAATTTCGCATCCACAGTACCATTCCACTATCAAACACCCTCGCACATGACCTGCTACAACTTCCCTGCTGACCTGCTGCGATGGCTGCGGTCAGTACTGTGGATCCAGTCCATTCAGAGAGATCGGCGACGCACACGGCTGTACTAGTTGAAAACACAGTCACAATTGGGATCAATCTTAGATGGATACCAAATCCCTGCCATTACAGTTGATGGAAATCCAGTAATCCTTGCAGTTTGCAAGCACCAACTTGGCAACAAGAAGATTTCCTGCAAGGCACCTGAAGATACCGATGTCCAGGTAGGTAAAACATCAGTGCTTGCCCTGACTGTCTACCGTGACGAGATTGATGATGATGTTTGGCCTCAAATTGTCAAGTCTCCTGTCAAGGTCGTCTTTGGTATCCTGAAGTCTCAGGGCCTGGATCTCAGGCCTACCACCTCACCTTGGGGTCGATCATGGCGTGCCGATGCAGTGAAAACTTTGCCTGAAACTTCGACCAGTCTACAATTTTTCATCCGAACACCAGTTGCTCAAGTCAAGGAGTGCCTTAGGCTATCCGGACTGAAAGGAGTGTACGCTGTGTTGAAAACAGAGGAGAGGCGGACTGACACCGCATACGCCGTGGTCTGGCTTGATCTGCCGCTGAGGGAGCTCAGGGTGTCTGCAGCTTCCTTGAAGACCAGCATGGGTTTGGTCAGGATCAACAAAACCTCCAAGATCTCCCGAGGTATCAGATTTCATGCTGATGATTTTGATGAACCCTACAAGCAGTTGAAGCCCGCAGCAATCCCAGCAACACACATCAGTGTTAAAGCTGTGGCCAAGCTGTCACCTACCCCTGTGGGTGCAACCTTCGAATCTGTCACCGGGCAATCAACCTCGCTAGGTCTGCTAGCTTGGCAAATGGACAAGCAGCAGACCGATGACATGGTGCAAAATATGTGATTTCATCCACCAGTTGGTGGTATATAATGTGTAGCCCATATCCAGCCAAATGGACTTGAATATATTCCATATTATGTCTGGGTTATTCTACGGTGGATGAAAGAAACCCTGCAGAAGTTGGTAACTATTGGCAACTATGAAGCAAGGTAGATTTACTGGGATTATAACGGGATGTTTACCATGTACCATCTGGTGCAGATGCCCGTTTCGTAGGGTATACAGCTGGTTAGGGCAGTAGGGTTAGTAGTTACCCGGCAGGGACAAGTCAGGTCACCCATGCAGTTTTTGGGCATTCCCAGAATCGGGGAGACAATGTGCATCGGAACTCCCAATAAAATCAATAGGCACGACCAAACTTCTACATGAACCAGTCATCCCAATGAGAGATTCAATCCATTTCAAACGCGACAAACAAATGCAAAAAAGGCCTAACTTCCTCCTTTCGCCGAAGAAACACGCAGAAACCACGCAAGGTCAGCCGGTGGCAAAGCCGAAAGCAAAGAGTAAAAGCGCGAACTCAAAGAGACTTGCCCCGTTGCGTTGCTGGCGGAGTCTGAGTTTCTTCTCCTGGATTTTGTAAAACCACCTGTTTGAACCAAAAAAAAGGAGATGGGTCGACTAATTCTAATAGGAATTGATTTCACCATTTTGGGGGGTATAGGTGTTACATGGTGTTACCCCCAAAATTGACAGTCAAATGTTAGAAAAAAACCATGGTTGACCTGAACAACCAGGAAGATCTGATTGACGTCTCAGAGACTCTATATACCTACTTCTTCGATGTGACCAAGGTATTGGTTTTCTGGTGAAAGAAATAAGCCAGTAAAAAAAGGGGACTGACGAGCATCAATCAAAAACATCCCATGGTAACTTGACCAAATTGCACATGATTCAATACACAATCATAGTAAAAAACATGGCCCAATTAATTCATATAGAACTGGGGTTTTGTTCCCAGAGGTTTCTGGGGATAGTTATCATAGGATATACCGGAGACCAGTACGGTCCTGATCATCCCATAGGATCATCCCATAAGGGGATTTCGGAGGGCCTGTGTTCCTTCAGTGATCCTTCGTTTGTCCGACGGATGTGGATGTGGGTCTTGAAACAGGGCCCTGAAATTGGATGGTTTTGAACTGAGCGGTGTTGAACTGAGCCAAAATATTTCAAATCTTGGCCCATATCCAGATGACCACGTGGTTCTCTCGGAGTTTTGAGGGATGGTTATTTCATTGATTTTCATTGCATAGTGGGTGAGCCCCAGGTAGATCTCTCTCTCTCTCTATCTCTCTACACACACACACCAAACATATGCTGTATATCAGTATATCATATGGATACACCGTTGCGGATATATATATATATATATATTTATTTATGTTATGTTATATATATATTTATAGATCATAGATACATACATTACACTACATTACATTAACATTAACATTTATATTTGCATTACATAAGTAAATACATAAATAAATACATACACACTTAATTATACATATTTACACCCATGGTACCCGACTGAAGGTCAACCTTTCTTCGTCTTCAAGGTTATTGATGTCGTTTTTGTTGACTCAGACCCGTGCCTCCTTCATCTTACTGGTGCTAAACGCAAGGAATGAGGGAATGATCCATTAAATCTAGTAATAATCATCCCATTCCCCCATTCCCATCCATTCCCTGCTAAGCACCAGTAAGTCATTGTGAACTGAACTCAGGAAGAATGCTGCGAAGGATCGTACGAAGGATGAGGTGTGGCACTTAGACGATGCCGGGGCGGCCCCCTGTTTCGCCCCAAAACGCTACCGGCACATTGGAACATCCCTATATTTTTGCTGGATGGCTCAGCCACCCTCTTGGAATTTTATTTGTGGTGTTTTTTTTGGGTTATTTTCCAATGGAATTACACATCACCCACTAAAACTGAAACTTTTGGGGATCAAACTTCAGCACCAAGCTGTCATGATTCTACCAGTAGAGTGCAACACCCCTGCCTAACTTGGTTGGTCTGGATACCTGTGCAATGCTTTACTAGTTTCAGATGTTGTTAGAATTCGTTCGGTGGTTAACAAGGTGGTGCCCCCAAGATAGCGAAGTTGGTTTATAACTCTAATAAGTAGGATTTATGGTAGATATATCTATAGTTTTCATGGGATTATAAACCAACAAGCATAACTTGGGGGGCACCACCTTGTAGTAACTCTTTTTTTCCCCAAAGTTTATCGGAGTTTTCTGGGGTGAACGAACCCACTTCGTGCTGTTTAAACTCAAGAAAACGTGAACACCTGCGCGTGTAATGGATCATTGTTTCTCATGGAGGAATATCACATCCAACAAAGTATCTCAGAGGTCAAGACGATAGACAAGCTCTTTCAGAATATTGCGTTTCTTTTATATGAATTTGGGCTTTGCTACAAGGAGGTGATCTAGTCATGTACTTGTATATTTGTATTGCTTGGTAACCTCAACATCAATACATGTGGTGCATAGATACTAATGTATAGCATGATAAAGATAGTAAATATACATCCATCTATGTGATTATGTGTATATAGTCATATATATAATATTCTAGATATACAATTGGTATATATATATATATAAATACATTCCAAGCTTAGCCACAGCAACCCTTGCTACGGTGAAGGTTCGCGCTCCAGCGTCTTCTACGTCTACTCGTGCCTGGACGTCTGCCTGCGACATCGTGAGCAGAACTGGTCAAATATCTGGATAGCAACAACGGGAAAGCAATGGGTTTAACATGGTTAGTATGCTATATAATATGATTATGTAATACTATGTATTTGAATATATATATATATGTAATATACATATACATATACATATATATCTATATATACATATACATATATATATATATACACATTATATGTATGTATTATATATTTCATATAATATGTGTCATGCAGTACAGATTAAGTGGTCAGAAAGTGAATGGGTAGTAAACTACTGTATCCCAGATTGGGGGTATGTGAAAATAGCGGTTGTGAATTTTCTGGATGTTCTTCCCTTCCACATACCATCCAGCAATTTCACGCATCGCCATGGTATAGAATTGGGGTTTAATATACCTGTTATAAATTCAGGATTCCCAATATGGGGGTTTTCCATAAATGGAGGATCCCATTAGCTGTTTTTGTTTTTAATCCTATTCAGGGGTATATACGGCTCAAAGGCTCGTGTTTGTTGGTGTGTTTAAGCAAAAACAAAATCCCAACCATTTGTAAGATGATAGGTACAAGGTGAGACTTCCCAGTTATGCTTGTTGGTTTTTAATGGTTTATAAACTGATTAACCTATAGTTTAAAATTATATTCCCAAAAATAAACCCAAATGCAAATCAAATTATAATAAGTCAACCGCATTGCTTTTTTTGTTCCTGGGGCACCTCATAGAAAAACGTAGGTTTTCAAGGATCACGCACGAAAAAAGACTGCTGGGATTCCCTGATATTTCTTCCGTTTATTTATCGGGGATTGGGATAAACTAAAAATGAATAGGACACTTATACTAATGGACCAATAAATATTAATAGTTTCCTATTCATTTTTGGTTTCCTATCATCTGACACCCAATAGACTATATTTAAGATTCAAGTTTCCAGAAAAATTCAATGGACCTTTCTGGGGGGCTGAAAAGACGGAGTTGCCCATCTCCAACAAGGTCAAATCAAGTTTCTTCTATCGGGCCCCGATGGCGAACGTTGTAGAGGCAGTAGCTGACGTAGCTCCAATATCGATCGGATGCCACTGGTAGATCAATGGGAGAATTTTCAGGATCCGAACAGATGGAGGTACGTTAGTACCATATGTTTGGCCATGTCTTGTGGGGATATTCCCTGAAATTTAGGCCTGGAAAATAGGCCTTATATATTGTAGGTACCTCCAATAAATCGGTTCCTGAAATGGCCACTGGTAGATGTATCGAACTACTGTGGATGGTTGAGATATCCTGCACCAATTTGGGATGGTTGAAAGTTGAAACCCTATAATTTTTATGGGATGTTTACCATCTATCAACTGGTGATTCGGATTTCGCTGGCCCATCCACTGTAGTTAATGGTGATTATAAACACGCAACTAATTTTTTTGGGTAACACATTAGTTGGTGAGATTGCCGAGCTTCCTAGTTCTGTTGCATCCATGCCGATCCATGGATTTTTGTTAATAAAATTGTTGCATCGTGCTAAATCATGTTAAATCCATGGACAAACCCATCATATCTGCAGTTCCAATTACCCTCTGGTAAACATACAAAAAGCTATTGAACATGGCCATTTATAGTGAGTTTTTCCATTGAAAATGGTGATGTTCCATAGTTATGTTAGTTAACCAGACTGGTATTTTTCACAACTGTTCCTTTGTTGATTTCTTTGCCCTACTCCTTGTTGATGAAATCCAAGCATATTTGCTGTTGACATCCACCAATCCAGACAGATATTGGTTTCTAAGGCAATCCAAAATGTGCTGGTTAAGTCACCCGTCTTGTTGCTGACTCAATTTGAGCCATTAAAAATACCCTGGTTAATTGATTGCTATAGTGGATTTAATCCTACCTGGTTTACTGGGGATCATGATAAGCCATAGTAGGGAAACCGTTTTCAACCAACTAGTATAATGAGATGGGATAGTGGTATTTTTAATGGCTCATTTGAAGTTGCTTAAGTTGCTTCAGTGTGACTTTCCCATTTGGCTTTGGCAAATGTCCCATGTCTTGGGGATTTGTTTCACTTGAAGAAGTATCTGTTGGACATATCCCGAATATTTGGGTGATGTGAAAAATTAGGACGTTTACCAAACCGCACCCAAATATTGATGATTAGGGTTGATCCCCATGTACCCATATTTATCTGGGGTTGTTATAAAAGAGGATTGGTATATTCCCAAGATTTGGGGTTGTTCATCAACCCCTGTGCTCCTCAACTCCCAGCCTTTTTGTAACTGGCCCAAGGTGCTAAGGCCAAAGCCGCGCCAGCTTCGACCCTGGCGGCGCCGGGCACATTGGAAACTCCGGGGGCAACATCGCCAAGTGCCGTGGCGGCAGTGATGTGCAGTGGAACCATCATTTCCGTGGCTTTTATTTCACTAATAAGTGGGTTATATGTTTTAGGGATTAATTATATTCTGGTTGGTGGTTTCAAACATTTTTTTCCGTAATATATGGGATGTCATCCTTCCCATTGACGAACTCATATTTTCCAAGATGGTTAAAACATGTTAAAACCACCAACCAGTATTCCAAAGATATCCAAATATAATGTGTATACTGAGTATACTATATCACTATATCCCAACTAGTCCCATACACCCATCAACTCGTCCCAACTGCACCCCCAAGTGAATGGATTGAGTCGCCATACACGCCTCGATTTTTATTTTTAGTTGCTGATCGGTCAACGCCATGTTTTCCCCAGTACCTGGTGAAACATGCGGAAGATTTCAGCCCAGCACAGGGACTTTTGGGTACCCTCTGGTAACATGGTTTGCTGGAGGATCCCTCAGTCCGATGATTCTCCCAGCTATAAACAGCATCTATTTGCGAGGATTTTCCAAACCATGTCTGGTTGGTGGTTTGGATTTTTTTTTTATTTTTCCATATATTCGGAATGTCATCATCCCAACTGACGAAGTCCATCATTTTTCAGATGGGTTGAAACCACCAACCAGTCAATTATCCAATAGTTTAGAATTTTCTTGGTCATCAATTATCTAATAATCAATTATCTAAAAGATTAGATCATCATCACTAGTGTTTTGGGTAATAGTAATTCATCTGGTTGGTGGTTTGGAACATTTTTTTGTTTTTCCATATATTCGGAATGTCATCATCCCAACTGACGAAGTCCATCATTTTTCAGAGGGGTAGGTATACCACCAACCATTAACAGTTTGCTGGATGAAAATGGTCTATTTGTAGTTGATTGACCCAGCTATAAAATGGTGATTTTCCATCGGTTTTTGTATGTTTAGCCTGTGGATATACCAGGTGATATATGTATGATGCATATAGTTTGCCATATAGTTCACTATGCTTTACCATTTGGTTTACCCTACAGTAGGACATCCACAACTATGGTAAAATAATAAATCGTTTATAATGGAAAATCCATCTATAAATGGATGATAACTAGGGGTACCCCCATGACTTAGGAAACCTCCATGTGTTGTATGTGGGTGTTGTATATTGCTTGGTGATTCTGGTTTTTAAGCCATGAATCCAGGATTCCCATAGATTCCTTGACGAGGTGCAAGTGCTGTGATCTCTCCTGTGAGTGCGAAGACGGAGAAGTCTGTGGCATTTGACACCAGGCGCCGGCGAGTTGCGGCGAAGATGAATTTTCCCAATTGGAATTCATTGAAAGACTGGGGAATCTATGGGGATTTATGTATCCATAAATATGTATATATAAATATATGTATATCATATTTTAATTTATTTTATACTATATTATATGTATATGTATATATAATATACATATTATATTTTATCATATCATATTATATTACATTTTATGATTTTATTTTGATTTTCAATTTATATTATATTATAGTTTTTTTTTTAAATATATTATCTTATATTTTGTTTTATATATTATATCCTATACATATTATATGTTTTTTTATTATTATTTGTTTTTATTTTATTATATGTTATTCCCCACCTGCCAGGTGAGGGTTGTTAGATTTTATGTCAGTTGCCTCCTCGTTCTCCTCCTCCTCGTCCTCCTCCTCCTCCTTCTCCTCCTCCTCCTCCGCCTCGTCCTGCCTCGTCCTCCTCCTCCTCGTCCTCCTCGTCGTCCTCGTCGTCCTTGCTCAACTGCGACCCGCGATCCACAGTGTTCTCTGCCGGACCTCAACCACGACCATCCACGCCCAGTGTTCCCTGCCGGACCTCAACCACGACCACCCACGCCCAGTGTTCCCTGCCGGACCTCAACCACGACCATCCACGCCCAGTGTTCCCCGCCGGACCTCAACCACAACCATCCACGCCCAGTGTTCCCTGCCGGACCTCAACCACGACCATCCACGCCCAGTGTTCCCTGCCGGACCTCAACCACGACCATCCGCGCCCAGTGTTCCCTGCCGGACTTCAACCACGACCATCCGCGCCCAGTGTTCCCTGCCGGACCTCAACCACGACCATCCACGCCCAGTGTTCCCTGCCGGACCTCAACCGCGACCATCCACGCCCAGTGTTCCCTGCCGGACCTCAACCACGACCATAGAATGTCAGAAAGAATGTCAGAAAGAATGCCAGATAGAATGCCAGAAAGAATGCCAGATAAAATGCCAGATAGAATGCCAGATAGAATGCCAGATAGAATGCCAGATAGAATGTCAGAATATATGTCAGAAAGAATGCCAGATAGAATGCCAGAAAGAAGCCAGATAGAATGCCAGATAGAATGCCAGATAGAATGTCAGAATATATGTCAGAAAGAATGCCAGATAGAATGCCAGAAAGAATGCCAGATAGAATGCCAGATAGAATGACAAATAGAATGCCAGATAGAATGCCAGATAGAATGTCAGAATATATGTCAGAAAGAATGCCAGAAAGAATGCCAGATAGAATGTCAGATAGAATGCCAGATAGAATGCCAGATAGAATGTCAGAATATATGTCAGAAAGAATGCCAGATAGAATGCCAGAAAGAATGCCAGATAGAATGCCAGATAGAATGCCAGATAGAATGCCAGATAGAATGCCAGGTGGAATGTCAGAATATATGTCAGATAGATTGCCAGATAGAATGCCAGAATATATGTCAGATAGAATGTCAGAATATATTCAAGATTTGTCCAAATATACGTCCTGACATGTCCTGACATGTCATGGTGGGGATCACACGAAGTAAAGTAATTTGATTTTGTTATATTTTATTGTTTTCTTATTCTATATTATATTTTATTCTATTATACAATGTTACATTATATTTAAATTATCGTGTGTTATGTTATCTTATGTTATATACTTTTCTATATATAATATTCTATATTATATAATATATTATGTATATTATGTTGTATATATAAAATATTATATAGATTATATTGTATATATTATATATGTTATATCATATATATTATCTTATATATAATATTATATATATTTATAGTATATCCTAAAAATATAATATAATTTAATATAATATAATATAATTTAATATAATATAATATAATATACAATAATATAATATAATATAATATAATATATATTTATATTGTATTTTTTTAAATGGTAAATTTATATTATACATAGTATTTATGTATTATATTATATATGTATCTTATTATATATATATTATAGGTATATTTTTAAAAAAATGCATATTATGCATTATATTTTATTGCATTATATTATATATATCATTATATATTATATTTTTTATATTTATATATATATATTATTATCTTATATATATGATACTATATTACATATGTATATATATAATAATAATAACAATATATTATATATTTTACTATATTATATATTTTATAGTATATATATTGTATTATTTCTAAAAAAATATTTATATATATAATATATAAATAATATATATATATATATTATCCTAAATTATATATAATATTATATTATATATTCACATTATTACGCATCTTATACTATTTATAATTTATAATATATATATATATGTTTTTTATATATATATATATATTATTATATATTTTACATTATATACTTGGTTTCCTGAAATCTTTCCTTAAGCAAATCCAAGCATGTGCTCGAACCAAGAAGGGGGCTGAACTTGTCGAAAAAGCTCCAACTTTTTCCACATTCGTGATGTAGTATTGGATCATATTGGATCTATCTACTTACGATCAACAACTACATCCGTGTCAAAGCCACATATTTGATGGATAACCCTGTAAATATGTCCAAGGAATAATCCTAGTTGCCGGGGTAGCATTGGGGAGATGGATTGATCAAAGATTGACTTTGAGCGGAAACATGGGACATCAAGAATCTATGGCTGTTTCAGTCACACTGTTTTACACCAATGGGGATTATAACGGGATTATAGTGGGATTATATAGGATTATATAGGATTATATGGGTGCTTTGGTGTTGTACAACACATATTGTTCTTCTATAGCTATACAACATATATTTTATGGTTAGTACATGTTCTAAGGGTGTTTTGTTTTTGGATATACAACACATAATGCGGAATATTGTGGTGTTTTGGGATAGAACGAAAATGTAATGGGAATATAGTCGGATACACAGCAAATAGTATACCAACTACCCTCCGGTGTCCTCAAACATGGCGGGCCGCTGGTAAAATCTCCGAACTAGCCATGGAGGTTTAGTTCGCTGGGAAACGAAGCATGCAAATACTGTAGTGAATTTTCAAGCAAACCATGTTTCTGGGTAAATTTTACTATTTCACCAATCTGAATTAAGGCTATTCGGGGATGATTTCCCTTACTAACCATGATTACCCAGCGGGTAAATTGAATCTAATTCAACATTAGTCTCATGGCGAATCATCTCCATGCATTCAAAGAAATGGCATTCGAATGCAAGAGACAAATCCAAGAATTGATGGTCTAGCGTGCTTGGGGAAACCAACGGTGGAGTAGAAAGAACATGACACTTGGATAGTCTGATACACCTATTGCCAACTACATTTTTTTCAATAATCGCACATTGAAGCCTGACCAATCGGACCATATATTAGTTTCATGAATAGGTTCTTGTTCTTGGTGTAGTTGGGATTGGATCCACGAACAATTATAGAGATATACAATATCATATACATTTTCGTACAGAGTGCATTTCAAGGGAAAGAAGAGACGTGTGTGAAGGTCAAGACTTATTAAAAATGTCACATGTTGAAACAGGGGTTGCGGGATGGTCATCCATTTTCAGTTTGGGATTTCGTATATGAAAAACTCTGGTAATTTGTGGGCGCTATGGAAGCCAGAAATGCCATTTACTTCGATGATTTTCCTATTCCAAAGGGTGATTTTCCATAGCCAATTCTGTAAGTGTCACTGGAGGCGAAAAAAGGGAATTTCTCATGATGGGATGCTGGAGAATTTGTGGCGGTAAATCCCCGAACTCAATGGAGGTTTGAATGGAAAATCTGGTCCATCAGCAGTAGGTTTTCCATTGTCACATATGATTACCAGAGGGTGTCCAGATACGGCCAGGTGGAATCGTTTGTCAAGTTCAGTTGCATAATTTTGCCACAGTTGGGGTCACCCTCTTGCTCTTGACAGATGTCTTTCCTGCAGGTCTCCTAAATCCGGAACATCGGCGACACCCACCAGCCACGCCAAGACGGAGAGGTCGGGAAGGTCTGCAGCAAGTAAGGCAAAGACCGAACAGTCAGAGTATGTCTCAAATTTTGAGGATGTAACCCCAACAAGTAATGCCAAGACAGAGAAGTCTGAAGCAAAGACAGAACCGTCAGAGTACGATTTTGAGGAGGCAACCCCAACAAGCCATGCCAAGACTGAAAAGTCAGCGGCAGCAACAGAGAAGTCTGGGGCAAGTAGGGCAAAGACCGAACAGTCAGAGTATGTCTCAAATTTTGAGGATGCAACCCCCACAAGTAATGCCAAGACAGAGAAGTCTGGAGCGAAAACTGAACGGTCAGAGTACGAGTTTGAGGAGGCAACCCCAACAAGCCATGCCAAGACTGAAAAGTCAGCGGCAGCAACAGAGAAGTCTGCGGCAAGTAGGGCAAAGACCGAACAGTCAGAGTATGTCTCAAATTTTGAGGATGCAACCCCAACAAGTAATGCCAAGACAGAGAAGTCTGGAGCAAAGACTGAACGGTCAGAGTACGAGTTTGACGAGGCAACGCCAACAAGCCATGCCAAGACTGAAAAGTCAGCGGCAGCAACAGAGAAGTCTGCAGCAAGTAGGGCAAAGACCGAACAGTCAGAGTATGTCTCAAATTTTGAGGATGCAACCCCAACAAGTAATGCCAAGACAGAGAAGTCTGGAGCAAAGACTGAACGGTCAGAGTACGATTTTGAGGAGGCAACGCCAACAAGCCATGCCAAGACTGAAAAGTCAGCGGCAGCAACAGAGAAGTCTGCAGCAAGTAGGGCAAAGACCGAACAGTCAGAGCATGTCTCAAATTTTGAGGATGCAACCCCAACAAGTAATGCCAAGACAGAGAAGTCTGGAGCGAAGACTGAACGGTCAGAGTACGAGTTTGAGGAGGCAACGCCAACAAGCCATGCCAAGACTGAAAAGTCAGCGGCAGCAACAGAGAAGTCTGCGGCAAGTAGGGCAAAGACCGAACAGTCAGAGCATGTCTCAAATTTTGAGGATGCAACCCCAACAAGTAATGCCAAGACAGAGAATTCTGGAGCAAAGACTGAACCGTCAGAGTACGAGTTTGAGGAGGCAACGCCAACAAGCCATGCCAAGACTGAAAAGTCAGCGGCAGCAACAGAGAAGTCTGCGGCAAGTAGGGCAAAGACCGAACAGTCAGAGTATGTCTCAAATTTTGAGGATGCAACCCCAACAAGCAATGCCAAGACAGAGAAATCTGGAGCAAAGACAGAACGGTCAGAGTACGACTTTGAGGAGGCAACGCCAACAAGCCATGTCAAGACTGAAAAGTCAGCGGCAGCAACAGAGAAGTCTGGAGTTGGGAGAGATCCTTTGTTGAGGGTGCAAACAGAACAGTCCGAGTATGGTTTTGAGGAAGCAACACCCACCAGTACCTTTGCTTTGCTTCATATTTCATTTGTTTGTCTGCCCAATAGAAAGTAATTTGACCAGAATAGGAAGTCCGTATGGCTTTGTGATGCGTTGTCATCGTTTCCGGACAATAGAATCTATAGTTTAGCATTGTTTTCCCCATTAAAACAATAACGACTTGGGGTATCTCATTCACAAACCTGGCCGAGGCAATGCCAAGACAGAGAAATCGGGTGCTCCGAGGACTGAACATTCAGAATACGATGATTTCGAGGAAGAGACTCCAACCAGTCATTCTGCAAGTGATTTTGAAGCATCGCCAACGAATAATGCCGGAAAATGATTGATCGGTGCACAAAAAGTGTTGATCATTCCAAGTTTTTTGACAATCAAGGGTAAAACCACCGGTCAGATGAATAATTCGCTCTAGTGATGCAGAAGTGCATAGCATGTACCGTGCTGCGACAAAGTCTTCGCGCGCCATTGATGTAAACTTTGAGTTCTGGATCTCCAATCCCCTGAATTTATCATATGGGTATGGATCAATACCTATTTTCATACCATTTTTAGTGGGATGAACATCCATAAATCCCAGCTATTTTGATGTGAACAGAAGGGGTACCTATGGTTTTGACACACTGCCATATCATCAAACCCCCGCATGCGGACCTGAGGTCCGTCGTTGGTTAAATGCAGCTTTTCTGGTTTTAAACCACGTGGTTCACATTGAAAGCTTCATGGTTTTGTAGAATGCCAGATATAATGTCAGAATATCTGGGAATATAATGGAATATATGTCAGATAGAATGTCACTTGGTGGGGATCACTCACTCCAGGAAAGTAATGTGAGTGTCTTTTCTTCTGAGTGATGACAGAAGGTCGTAAGTCGTAAAAGCAAGCTTATTGGTTGTAGAGTGTTGGCGAGGTGGATATGCTCAAACATGACTGACAAAATTGGTTGTAAGATGTTGTAATTTTGACAGAAAGAATCTTGGACTAGTAATCAATTTGTATCAATCTGTGTCCATCAGAGCATAACTAGATACTAGTTCATATTTCCATGACAAAGATCTAAAAGAATAACTCTTCAAATGGTATAGACCGAAGCTCAACTTAATCCTGAATTTGGCTTTGATCCTGTTTTCACACAGATGGAGATCCAAGATTGCCTGTTTTTTTCTTCCAAGCAACATGCAACGTGTTGCTCCCAACATTTGATCGCACTTGGACAAGCGCGGTCAGCGTGGCTGCGTTTGCGGCGCCGGGAACATGATTTGCGTTCCGCATGTGGAGTCTCCTTCGTCACCCCTGGAATCGCTGAGTTCATCATTGTTCACTTTCCCAATGGCAAATCCACTAGAGAATCTATCGGGAATAATTATGTTTTATCCCTTGGGGGCTTCCTTAAACAAATCCAAGTTACGCACACAGTTACGCTATTTTTATAGGTTCTATAGCTGATGGGCTGATGAGCAAAGCGGCTGATGAATTTTAAACCAACATTTGGAAATATGTGATGTTCATAGTAATCTGATGTACATAGCCATGCACCACGGTTTCATTTTTAATTTTTATCAAAAAACATATTTTTCCATGGCTAGTCTTTCCCAAAAAAGGGCGGCCAACTGGGAGGTGGAGATTTGGTCAGCCACAGGTCAGTAGTTCAGCCAATTGGATATGGCATTGACAACGTTGGTGATCTGGGTACTAGGTCAACCAACTCGATGGGTAGGGACTAATCCCTGAAAGTCTGTTAGAACATATTTTGCTTTAAATTGGAATACTTACCAACCCGCCAACGATTTCTTTTTTTTTTTGCCAGGCTATCTAAGATTAGCACTTGTTATTTCATATTTGATTTATCATCATGGTTGATCAAAGCCATCGTAAAAAAAAAAAGCGCTCAGATGGGCCCCACTTAGTAAATGTGTCAAAAAAACAGTGAGATCAATGGAATACAAGATGGGGCCCCCAAGATAACTAAGTTGTTTTACAAGTGGTTTAACTATGGTTTGTGGTAGATATAACGAACTAGTTAATGGGGATTATCATTGTCTATAAACCAACTTATAACTGGGGGGCCCCATCCTGTATCCCCAATGAACTTATATAATCTTACCCCCAGGCCGGGAGTGCCGCCCGGAAGTTCATCATGTGACCAACTCTTTAGGGTTTATAAATGGGCTTGTTTAAGGTTTGTTTAGGGTTTGTTTAAGGTTCATTTAGGGTTTTTAGTTTTTTTTTTTAATAAACAACGGTTTTAATAAGATTTTACTTTCAAGGCGTACTTAGGGTTTCAGGGTTTCGTGTTCAATTTAGGTTTTGGGGTTTAGGATTTAGGGTTCCGTGTTTTGGAAACAAATCTCGTCATCCATCTGGGGAGATGGACGACATCCCGAATCTCATAAAACACTGGCCCTGCGCAGTCAAAACGCACTTCCCCGGCCGCACACCCGTCCTGGCCGTACTCTTATATATTGGGATGAATTTGGGTTAATTATATTGGATATATTATATGAATTATATGGATTATACACCGCTTACGATTCGTGGGATGCACATCCAAGTAGATAAATCTTGCTTTGCTTGGTGAGTAGTGTTGCTTTTTTTGGACCACAGATGCTTCGGAATATTGAGTGATTTCATAAAATGAGGGATCCCTCAGTCACCAGGGGTTTTAATACTAAAATGGTCTTATTTAGATTTAGATGATTTGGTAGTACCTCCCATTTTAAGGACACCTCCATTTGGCATCAAGATGTTGTTCTGAAGGGAGGGGACGTAACCAATCATGGAGACATAAGTTACATCGCAAAAAATCCATCAACACCAAGACCGAAAAGAAATTGGATGAACACATTATTTAGCAATATTTAACATATATATATATTTAACATATATATATACATTATCACTGACGAAATTGGTTTGGGAAGGATCCAACTAAACTCTGCCCTGAGATAGAGGAAGACACTGGAGGCTGACCAACCGTGCCCCGCTGGGGCCCAACGATCTCCGCTCCCTGAAAGGGAGCGGAGATCGCGATCTCGGGAAGCCGCGCAAGCGACCGCAACGAACCCCGGATTTGGGCACCATATGGGAATGGCTCAAAATCAATCAACATCATGTTGGTAATTGTGATATAATTGGTAATTGTTCAACATTGGTGATATCACCATATCGTCAAAGTTTGGCAATTGTCCGAATTGAACATCACTACAGACAGGTTTTTTTTTTTAATCATTTCCAACAGATACCACGGAGAGTGATGTGAAAAAACCCTGTGACCTTTCCATGGTGATTTCATGTGATTTACCATGGCATTTCAATAGGACACGATAAACAAACCGCTTGATTTTGGAGGGTTTCCCCTCATTTTTCCGATGGTCGAATGGTGAAGGCGGACAGCTGCACTGGTGCACTGGACCCGCTAAACCTGTAACCATGGTTAAATACATCCTATAAGTGTATAGCTATGGTTAAAAAGGGTCGATAATGGTATACCAGCCATCATTGTTTGGGATTGTAAATATATATATATATGGGCAAATTTAATCACGACCTCACGTCGCAACCGAGCCCTGGAAATCATGGTTTATTATAAGGGAAATCATCCCTTTTATGGCCTGGATTTTCAGGTTAGTATGATAATTTACCCAGACTATATCCTTTTTGGATCTGGCACCTGTCAGACTTTGTTTCAAGATATTTGTGGAACACATGACCTGTCACATGTCAGAAAATGTGCCACAAAGAGTTACTGGTCAGCATATATTTCAGAATATGTGTCGACAGAAGATGTGTTGACAGAATATGTGAGGTTGTATGTCAAACACATACGTCCGAGGGTATGCCATGATAAATGTATACACATCTTTAGGATGTATGTTTTTCAGTGTGTCAGGACAATTTTCAAAGTGCATGTCAACAAAAATCATAGTAAACTTAAATACTGTTTGGTGGTTTGGAACCATGGAATTTTATGACTTTCCATTCAGTTGGGAATTTCATAGTCCCAACATGTCCCAACTGACCGAATCGAAAGTTCAACAAGGGGTGTATCCCGGTGTATCGGGATGACATGGGTTATACCCCCAGTTGTTTTCCCAGTTAGATTATTGGGTTATTATATCCCCACTTAATCCCACTTAGATTAATGGGAATAAATGGGGTATATATATATATTATATTACTCTCCAGTAAATTAACATAGACCCTGCCAGATAGGGGTTGGAAGATTAGTTTCCATTACAAATTGGTGTTTCTCAGGGTCTATGTTTATTTACCAGAGGGTATGGATTATAAACCACTTGGATGTGGGATGCACATTCAAGTAAACAATCTGATTGATCTTCTTCCAAGATAAATCTGAGAGGGAAAGCCCCTCGTCTGTGACGCGAAAATCTTCCTCATCTGTGACGCGGACGCGTTTCCTCAACTGTGACGCGGTTCCTCCGTTGTGACGCGAGGTGGGGTGTTGCGTGGCAGGCGTGGCACTTTGTGCCATCGATGGTCTCCTTGTGTGGCGCGTGTTGGGCTTGGTGACATCGACTTTGCTTGCCTAGTTGTTCTGCTCCTTTTTCCCGTGGCTCTGATTCTGTGCTCCTTTCTCCATCTGGTGGTCCGTTTTGCCCGCTCAGCTGCCCAAGTCCATCAAAACGGACCTTCCTAGCTCGTCTGCTCTTCATCTGCTTAGCCGTGCTCCTTCCTCTTTCTGGCTGTCCGTTTTGGCCGCTCAGCGGCCCAAATCCGTCAAAACGGACTTCCCCAGCTCTCCCAGTCCTGGTTTGCTTGCTCCTTGCTGTGTCTGGTGGCCCGCCTTGGTAAGAGAGCCGCCGAAATGCTTCAAAGCGGGCTTGCCCAGCTGTTCTTTTGTTTTGTGTCTTCCTTTCTCCTGTGGCTGTGCTTCTGTGCTCCTTTCTCTCTCTGGTACTCCGTTTTGTCCGTGAGCGGCCCAAATCCTCCAAAACGGACCGCGCCAGCTTCCACTCTTCGTCTGCTCGCCTGCGCTCCTTGCTCTGTCGTGCGGTCCGTTTTGCCCTCTTAGCGGCCCAAATCCTTCAAAACGGACCTCCCCAGCTCTTCCACGCATTATAACGTCCATGTTACTGTACACACACAGGCACGGCAACCTCATCACACGAGAGCTGGCGGTGGGTCTCTGTCCCTTTCTCTCCCTGGTGGTCCGTTTTGGCCGCTCAGCAACCCAAATCCTCCAAAACGGACCTCGCCAGCTTGGTCAGCTTGACTGTGCTCCTTGCTCTCCCTCTGGTGGTCCGTTTTGGCCGCTCAGCAGCCCAAATCCTCCAAAATGGACATCGCCAGCTTGGTCAGGTTGGCTGT